GGGGGGTCCGGTCGTGGGGCCTGAACTCTGGGCCTGGGCACTGTCCCTCAGCTCTTCAGCTCAAGGCTAGCACTCTACCACTTGAGTCACAGCGCCACTTCCGGCTTTTTTTTCTTTTTGTTTATGTGGTGCTGAGGAATCGAACCCAGGGCCTCAGGCATGCAAGGCAAGCACTCTACCACTGAGTAATCTTCCCAGCCCCTTCCTGTTGTTTTCAACTTCACCAATTTTTCTGCCTCTAAATTCTGGCCCACTGAATTTTCACTTTCAGTTATTGATTTCCAGCTCTGAAATGTCCAAATACGTCTTCTCTGTATCCTGCTTGGCTTTGTGAGACTTCACATTTTCCTGCCATTTCCAGTGTGCAGTGCATGCTGGGAGGAATTTGTGATGGCTGCTAAAACTCTTGCCCAGGAATTCTCACTCCAATCATCTCAGTGCTGCTGTCTGCTATCTTTTCAAGTCAGGTCACCCAGATCTCAGAATGAGAAATGATTTTCAACTGAAATGTGGCATTCGGGGTCTGGTAAGACTCTGGATTTCATTTAGTCATGGATAATACGGGCAGAAATCACTGAGTAGTTTTAAATACTTGATTTTCAAAAGACCACAGGCTATTTGTAGAACATACAAAAAGGCTTACTTACTAGTAAGGTTCTCCGTTTTTCAAGAAAGTATCTTGTTCCTTTGGGCTTGCACTGGCCTTCAACTCCTTCACGATGACTCTTGCTACACTGGTACCAGTGTAAACCTCTCCAAGAAGGACCTAGACACAGAGCATGGCTTTTTATCAACATGGTGAGGAAACAGAACACAGGAAAACAAGTGAAGCAACAAGATGGCCTTTTGTTACTTTATACACTAACTCACAGAACGCTTAGAAACCTCCAGTCTGCCAAGTGCTGGTGGCTCACACCTGTAAATCCTAGCTACTCAGGGGGCTGAGATCTGAGAATCGCAGTTCAAAGCCAGTCCAGGCTGGAAGGTTCATAAGACTCTTAACTCCACTTAACCATCAGAAAACCAGAAGTGGTGCTGTGGCTCAAGTGGTAGAGCACTCACCTTGAGCTGAAAAGCTCAGGGATAGTGTCCAAACACCACACGCACGCACGCACACAGAAACCTACAGTGGGCAGCTTTACATGCTTGTAAATCCCAGCATTCACGCACACACGCACGCACGCACACAGAAACCTACAGTGGGCAGCTTTACATGCTTGTAAATCCCAGCATTCAGGACTTGGCGACAGAACTGAAAATTCCAGGCCAGCCTGGACTGTACAGCCTGGGAAGCAGAAAGAGGATATGGAAGAACACAGGAAGGAAGGTGGGGAAGGGGAGATTCAAATACTTTTCAACGAAAGAGCCATTTTAAACTGTTAGCTAGATATTTACAACATTCATACATTTTAAAGTACTCTATCTTTTCTATTGTAAGATTAATTGCAATCTCATAGGAAAAAACCATGATACTACAGAAAAGCAATTTAGTAAGTTCAACTGGAAGGTAACTCAAAATGATTGTCAATGCGTTAGCTAAGTTGTTCATCTGTGGCATGCCTGAGAAAATAAGCTGACTAATTGCCAAGGGAAACAAAAACAATGTTTCAACAGTATCAGGTCTGTAATTTCTACCAAAGCTTGAGTCAAAAACACAGGAAAAACATGCATTGAAATGAAAAGGATACCAGATGACAGTGAGCTCTGTCATTTAACTAGGTTTTTACTTCAATAAGAGAATGATCAACTTCCTTTTAGAATACTTTAGCATTCATAGAAAAGTAGTTCCATTTCAATGCTCCAGAACTCAGTGTGTATCAGGCACGTAAGGACAGAAAGCTGAAGGGAAATCCTGCTAACTAAGGAAGTCATGTTCAGTGTTGCAATTAACCAGCATGACAACAAAACCTAAGATGTCAACTTCCAAAGTAAGGAGGACTAAAAGAGGGTGGTCCACCTGGACCTCTTGCCTCCATCTCCACCATCGGTATGGTTGGTGCTGGATACCTGTAAGGACCATTCACATCATATCTTGACCTCTCAGTAGTTTTGGCTGCTGTCCGACCAACTTTCCTGCAGCCTCAGCAATCACTTTGACGGGTGTGGATGAGCTAATCATTTCCTTCCACTCCAAGCCCCAAGTCTTGCTTCCCCTCTAGCACTACCCAGAGTCCATCTTCATCCACCTCAACGAAGACTCTACTAGACTCATCTGCCTTCCAAAGCCATTACTGGTACCCCTTTCCCACTGGGCTTCCTTACTCCTGGCCCTCACAGTCCTGGTCTGTCCTCTGCCCTATTACCTAAGCCAAACCCTAGGGCCAGCCAACAACACACCAGGAGGAGGGAAGACCATTTGTCACAGTGACTGCTCTCAGCCCTCCAACTCCCTAGCTGATCCACCTTCCTGGGCAGTTTCAGGCTTTCTCCTGTTTAAACTTTCAATAGATGTTTCCACTGCTCCTGTCAAGGGAGGAGCTGGTCTCCTGTCCTCTGAGAGCACCAGGCAGGACTTCCTCATTTACCACACCCACAGCAATGTGCCTGTGCTCAAGCACATGCATACACGCACACAAACACACATATACCTGCCTCTGCCCAGCTTGTGCACCACCTCTGTGCCACAAAGATTCAGCTCTTTCAAGGCCCTTCTCTCCTCTACCCCATCTAAGCCTGTCCTCCATACCAACAGGAAACTGCTTCTCACCCTGCAGCAAGGGGCATACCCAAAGGCTCTCCTGAACTACCCTCTGGATACCCCAACATAGCTACTACTCCAATCCTCTGCTCCTTTTGCAGATGAAACTGAGAGGTGTCTAGAGGCAATGCCTCTTCTCAAACCCATTCCTGTGCACTGCTGCCCCAGACACCTCCCCTCCAGGACAACAATGAACTCATACTGCTGATGCCTAGTTCTCCCACTCCTCCATCCTCCTTTCTGTAAGCCAGCACTATTTAAACTGATCCTCTTGTAGTCCTTCTCCACCGGTTCCCGCCTCACAGTTAACCTCAGTCTCCCCTGCTCCCCTAGTGGTGCCAGCCTTCAGCAGCAGAGCCACAGGCACCTTCCACCAATTTTCTTTTATTTGTATGTTTTATTTTTGTCGGTTGTGGGGCTTGAACTCAGGGCCTGAGTGCTGTCCCTGAGTTATTTTGCTCAAAGCTACTGCTCTACCACTTTGAGCCATGGTGCCACTTCTGGTTTTTGAGTGGTTAACTAGAGATAAGACTCACAGGAACCCTTCCTCCCTGGCTGGTTTCAAACTGCAATTCCCAGATCTCAGCCTCCTGAGTAGCTACAATCCTAGGTGTGAGCCACGGGTGTCCAGCTTTGCCTCTCTCTTCTTTATTATGAAATTCCTCACAATTTCCCCTACATGTACTGCTTGCTTGCTTTCTCTTTCATTTATTGCCTGTCCTGGGGCTTAAACTTAGGGCCCAAGCACTGACCCTGAACTTCTTTTGCTCAAAGCTAGCATTTTGCCATTTGAGCCATAGCACCATGTCTGGCCTTTACTGTTTATGTGGTTTTGAGGAATCGAATCCAAGGCTTCATGCAAACTAGGCAAGCACTCTACCACTAAGCCACAATCCAGCCCCACTTACTGCTTTAACGCATCTACACATACTAGCTTCTCCCAGGTTCCCATGTGCACCCTGGAACCTACCTGTTGACTCTGGCTTTGCATTTCTAGCCTCCTGGCTGATCCTACCATATAGACATGCAGCAGTCACCTTATTCTCACTTAGCCCAGGAATTCCAGCCTGTCTCTTGCCTCTTCTTCCATTCTTCCAGTTAGCCCCAAAACAGGCACAACGGCTGCCCCTTTCCCCTAGATTCCACATCTGTTCCCAATCTGATTCATACCTTCCCCTCCTGCCCTCCTTCCCTCTCTCCTAGCAACCTCACCAGTTCTACACTTCAGCATCCAGCCTGTCTGGCTCTCCACAGCTCAAGCACTGGCACTCCAGGTAAGCAGGTGATGTCACCCATTTCTCAGCCACCACAGCAAACCCCTCACTGCACCCAGCCAGACTGTATATGCACCCAACATCAGTACCTACAGTTCTAAAGTGGTTGAGGCACTAAAAGGAGTAAGAACAGGGAGAAAATAGAGAACAAGAAAATAACAGAATTTCAGGACAAAAGGCTTTTTTTTTTTTTTTTTAAGATTTCTAGCCCACTTCTCTTCCTTCTGTCCTCAGAAGTTTCTGAAGTGTGGTGTGTGGTGTGCTTGTATGGAATCTTAGCTACTGGAAAGTCTGAGAAAGGAAGATTGCAGTTCAAGGCTAGTTCATCCCAAACTACATGGGAGACTGAAATCAGGGATGCCAGGCCTAACTGGGCAGAAAAACCTGTGAGACTGCATCTCCATTAAAGGGACTCTGAATGTGGTGGCACATGGTTGATTCCAGCAGATTAGGAATCAGGTGCGTGTCAGGTGGGAAGTGAAACACTATCTTAAAAGTAACCAGTGCCAGGAACCAGTGGCTCACACCTGTAATCTTACTCAGGAGGCTGAGATCTGAGGATTGCTATTCAAAGACAGCCCAGGCAGAAAAGTGTGTGAGACTCTTATCTCCAATGAATCAGAAAAAAGCTGGAGGTGATACTGTAGTACAAGCTACCCTTGAGCAAAAGAGCTGAGGAACAGCACCCAGATCCAGAGTTCAAGGCCAGGACCAGCCCCCCCCAAAAAAAAACCAACACAGTGAAAAACAGGGCTGGAGGCATGGCTCAACAGCACCTTGCCAGACAAGCAAGCACAAGACACTGAATTCGAACTCCAAGTACTACCAAACCAAAATAAGGCAAAAAAAAGGCTCTGAGTTGAGTGCCAGAACAGTTGGCTAACCATGTATTAGGCCCGAGTTCAACCCCCAATGCTGAGGAGGGAAATCAAATATTTTTGCTCAGATGTGAATACTGATGTCCCCTAAAAACACTGTTGACATCACAAGACATCAAATCAGCCACGTGTACCTTCATCTTGGATGTCTCAGGCTCTAGAACTGTAGTTTCACAGGCTACTCAGTTCATGGTATTTCCTACAGTAGCGTGAAGGGACCAAGACAGCTTTGTGAAGTGGTGATGCTCACAGTCCTGCACAGTGGCAAGGTAGTGTGGAACAAAACTTATTACCATGTGTAGAGAAGATGAACTGTCACGTGACATGGTCTCCCTTAAAGTTCTGAGCTATACAATCATAAGGAAAAAAATTGAAGTGAAGAACTTTTTACCTTTCCAAACCAGCCACTTCCAATTTCCTGAATGTAATTTAGGCTGTGGCGGGCAACTTGTGACTTTAAACCTTCTGTAAAAAAAAAAGAAAAAAAAGAGAAATAATTAATAAGGATAAGGCTTAACTAAAATAAAATAAAACAAGTACTAAATATATAGTCTCTGAATTACAAATGCTGAAATTAATGCTGTTTTAGCTAGAGGCAGAAACAAACACATGAGGCACTCTCTAGAATGAATAATAGTAGTAATAATAACAATGGCTGAATAGTCCCAAGCTTGTTTTTTCTGGTCTAGTAGTTCTTGTATGAGGATCCCAGCAAGTGGACCTATACAGATACAATGGCAGTTCCAGATGAAGAGTGAGGAAAAAAGTAGGTGAACACTCAATGGCTAAGCCAGGTGATGGTGGCTCATGCCTGTAATCCTAGCTACTCAGGAGGCTGAGATCTGAGAAGCTTGGCTTGAAGCCAGCCCAGGGAAGAAGGTCCATGAGACTTTAATCTTCAATTAAATAGCAAAAGCCAGAAGTGAAGCTGTGGCTCAAGTGATAGAGCACCAGCCTTGAAAAAAAAAGCTAAGGGACAGTGCCCAGGCCCTAAGTACCAGCATGGGGGGGAGGTGCATTTGCTGTTTCCTATTCTATTTTATAAGGAAGGAAAGTGCAGCTCAGAGACAGGGCTCAGTACCAGCATGGGGGGGGGGGGGGGGGGGGGGGGGAGAATGACATTTGATTAGAAAAAGGCCCAGCTCTACTACTAGATGACTTGAATTACACATCCAAATTGATCAGTAAACTCCAAGCAACGTTAAACTCACAGGGATCCTCAAAGATACATTATAACCAAACACACACAACCAGAGAATCTTGTCAGCAGGTAGACAGAAGTGACACATCATGAACATGGGATCCTAAATAAGACTACTCCTCAGAGATCGTGGAGACAGAAGGCAATAGACTCACAGAATAAGGTGCCAAAGAGAAGGTCTGTGGGCTAAGAATTGTGCATCTGGCAAAACCATCCTTTAAAAATGAAGGAGAAGCTGAATACCTACCAGTGGCTCATGCCTGTAACTATAGCTACTCGTGAGGTGGTAAGTTACAACAGAGTTGTTTTTAATGCCATCTAAGCTCTATCAGTCTAAACGTCACTGCTGCAAACGTAGGATGGCACTTGCGATCTTTACCTTAGGCACTAAGAAAACATCTAAAACTGAGGAGTCAAAATGGCACACAAAGCCAGGCACCAGTGGCTCATGCCTAAATCCTAACTACTCAGGAGGCTGAGATATGAGAATCCTGGCTCAAAGCCAGCCCGGGCAGGAAAGTCCATGAGACTTATATCTCCAATAAACCACCAGAAAGCCAGAAGTGGCACTGTGGCTCAAGTGATAAAGTGCTAGCTCTGAGCAAGAAAGAGAGTTGAAGAGCTGAGGGACAGTGCCCAGGCCCAGAGTTCAAGCCCCACGACCATCACCACCAACAACAAAAAGACATACAAGATGGTAATACTAGTTCCTGTAACATTTCAGGGGTCTATTCTGCAGAAAGCAGAAAGCTACTCCTAAAACTCACACGGATTGCAAGGGATCCCAGATAACCAAAGGAATCAAACTAACAAACAAAAACCAAGATGGGAGGACTTACCCTACTCTATTTCAAAACTTACTTTCAAAACTAAAGCTACAGTAGCCCAAAACACTGAGATTCTGGCATGAGGACAGGCAGCCATATTGATCAGTGGAGAGTCCTTCAAAAATAAATACAAACAAGCTGGATGCGGTGGCTCACGCCTGTAATTCTAGTGACTCAAGAGGCTGAGATCTGAAGATCAGGTTTCAAAGCCAGCCCGGGCAGGAAAGTCCATGAGACTCTTATTTCCAATAAACCACCAGAAAACCAGAAGTGGCACTATGGCTCAAGCAGTAGAGCCCTTGCCTTGAACTGAAGAGCTGAGGGATATAGTGCCCAATCCGAGTTCAATCCAAGTTCATGCCCCATGACCAACAAAATAAATAAATAAATAAATACATGGTCAAATGTTTTCAAAGAAAGAAAAAGAAAAGGATAAAAAGCTGGGTGCCAGTGGCTCACACCTGTAACACAAGAGGCTGAGATCTGAAGATTGCAGTTCAAAGCCCATCCAGAAAGCAAAGTCCATGAGACTCTTATCTCCTATTAGAGATAAAAAAGCCAGATGTAGAAGCAGTGGCTCAAGTGGTAAAGTGCTAGGTCTGAGCAAAAAGGAACCCAGCAACCGCATCCAGGCCCAGAGTTCAAACCAAGGCAAAAACAAAACCAAACAAAAAAAAAAAAGGTCAAGCTGGCCACCAGTGGCTCACGCCTACAATCTTAGCTATTTGCAAGATAGAGATCAGGAAGATCAAAGTTTGAAGCCAGCCAGGACAAAAAGTTCATGGGACCCCTATCCCACCAATCAATACGTTAGGTGCAATGCACACACTATTATTCCAGCTACATATGAGATTGAGATCAGGAGGATTGTGGTTCCAGGCTGGCCTAAGCAAAAAAAGTTCACAAAACCTCAACTCAACAGAAAACAATGGGCATGGTGGCACATTTGTCAACCAAACTACATGGGAAGCATGAATAGGATTGTACTCCCAGCTAGCCAGATAAAAAGTGAGGCCATATTTTAAAAAATTATGAAAGCCAAAAGGGCTAGCGAAGTGACTCAAACAGGGGAGTACTTGCCTAGCAATTACAAAGCTCTAAGTTCAAATTCCAGCACCTCCATGCCTCCGCTATCCTCACAGAAAGAGTGCCAAGCAAACCAGTGGAAGGAAGACCAGTGTCTTCAAACACTGCTTTGGGGTACTAAAAACCCATCTGTAAAAGAATTAAGTTAAGTCCTTACCTAAGTCCTTACCCTTTACCATATAAAAAATTTATTCAAAACGGATCAAAGAATAAAATTTAAGCTAAATCTATGAAACTCTTGACCTTGGATTTGCAACAGCAAAAAGTATAAACAACCAAAGGTAGGGAGGGGGGATAAACTGACCTGCATTAGAAGTATACTATTAAGTTTCTGCAAAGAGAGCCTGCCTAGCAAGCACAAGGCCCTGAGTTCAAACCTCAGTACCACTAAGTAAATACATAAATACAATGGTACTGGGACAAAGGATAGACTGACGAAAACAACAGACAGCTGAGAACACACACACACACACACACACACACACACACACAAACAGAAATGAAGAAATGAGTAAGGAAGGTCAAACAATTGATATCATACTCAAAAAACTCAACATAGGGTATGGACTAATATTACAACAAAAGCACATAGGGCCAGGGGAGAAGCTCAATGTATGCCTACATACACAAGGCACTTGGCTCAAACACCACTTTCACCAAAAAAAACCCACCCAGAAAAGTAGAAAACGCAACTCAATTTTTAGAACAGACTATTCAATTTTGACATCTTAAGACTGCTAAGAGCTAGGCACGGGTGTCACACAACTGTAACATTTGTCAGCAACAGAGGAAGAAAGATCTTGAATTCAAGGCCAGCCTCAAAAAAAAAAAGGAAAAAAAAAAAAGACCGTTACATTGGCTACATTAAAATCGGAAACTCTTGTTCACCAGAAATTTCTGTCTTGTGACTGTTATGTTTTAATTTACCATTCTGATTTCCTTTCCTGTGTGTATCTTTTTTAAGTGGTCATGTCCTGGTTTCCTTCCAGTACTGCCAAAAATAAAAACAACAACAATGCAGGACGATACTCTTACCCACAGAAGGCTGGAACTGTGACGGGGCAGGGAGGGAAATTGTTGGTACTGACAAAGTGAAGACCTCGGCAGGTGACTGCACAGAGGGCGTGTCTTCTGCTGGTGGTGTAAAATCAATCTCATCATCAAAATTATCTTCAAATTCCTAAAATCAAAGGTAGCAAGTATTAAAAATCAGTTACCAACATTTAAGATGCAATATTTACTCATCAGAAACAGGTTGATAGTAATACACACACACCCAATTCACCTTTATTTCAAGTAAAAATCATATGCAGTTGTGCTAATTCTAAAGATCTGAATAAGTAAGATTTGACAATAAATTACACAATACTTTATGTAACTTTTAGAACTGATGGCTTGAAATGAAATGTAATTTAAAAAAAAAATCAAGGAATTGAACATGGAAATGTTCTTCCAGGCGTAAAAGGCTACCTTTATACTGTTTGAGTTTAATTAAGTTTAAAAATTACTTTCACAAAGCCAGGTGCTGGTGGCTAATGCCTGTAATCCTAGCTACTCAGGAAGCTGAGATCTGAGGATCGCAGTTCAAAGCCAGCCCAAGCAAGAAAGTCCATGATACTCTTATCTCCAATTAACTACCAGAAACTGGAAGTGGCACTGTGGCTCAAGTGGTAGAGCGCTAGCCTTGAGCTGAAGAGCTGAGGAACAGCACCCAGGGACAGAGTTCAAGACCCAAAACTGACCTCCCCCCCCAAAAAAATTACTTTCACAAACCTCTGCATATTAGATCAAGCAAGACAAATTAATTTTATTTTTAAATGAAGTTCTAATTGCAAAGTGTCTTCCTAATAATAAAGACAGTTAAACTCAGAAAAGATTCTTTTCCTTTCCCTCCCTCCCTTTTAAGAGACTGGAGTTTGAACTCAAGGTCTTGTGCTTACCAGGCTAGTGCTCTACTGCTTGACTATATCTCTATTCCTTGGGGGTGGCGGTGGTGGTGGTGGTGGTGGTGGTGGTGTGTGTGTGTGTATGTTTACAAGGCTGGTGCTCCACCACTTGACTATATCTCTAGTCCGTGTGTGTGTGTGTGTGTGTGTGTGTGTGTGTGTGTGTGTGTGTGTGT